ACTAAAACTAATAACAAACAAATAACACACGAAAATAACTAAAAAGAAATAACAAGGGATTAGCAAAGTTGCTAATCCCCGGCAATGGCGCCAAAATTTGATGCGAAAATTAACTTCACACACAAATTAACCCTCTTTTGACAATTCTAGCATATAAATAAGTAGGGATCGTTCTTACACCGGGGATTAGGAGGGCTTGCTAAACACTCTAAACTGACTCAAATAACTAAAATTATCCTTTCAAACACTTAAACTCACGTAAAAAGACTCAAACACGTTCACAAGACTCAAAATAGGCTAAAGACACTCAAAACTACCTTAAAAACATAATCTGGGCAGTTTTGAGCCTAAACACAAATTTGGACGAAAATTGGTTCTAACTTGACTCAAAACTCTCAAAAACACAATCTAAAACATATTTGGACCAATTAGACACTCTAGAATAAATGGGGATTTGGTTTTGGACGAAAATAAACAAAACAAAACAAATATGTAAACTAGGCAGATTTGGACGAAATTGATGGAATTAAGTGGATGGTGAGATGGCTAGGAGGTTTTTCTCCACACATGGCATACTTGCACATAATACAATTTCCAGTTGCTTAATCAATGAATTCATGAACCTCAACACCCCAAGTTAATTAGGTACGTGATAGGATTTTTACCACATGCAAATAGGGTTAAAATCACTGAAAATACTTGCAAGAATACAAGGTAATTGTAGTATAATTGCTCATGCAAGGTCATTGTCCACAAAGATTGTTTGATTAATTCATAATTAAAACAACTCTTAATTAACTATTGAAACAGATTTTTATCAAAGATTTGAGATTTTTGAGTTCGAAAATGTTGAATTAACAATTAAAGAACCTAGAAGTTAGAAAATAAAAGCAGCAAACAGAAATTACGTTTTTTAATTAAAACAATTTAGGGAAAGACTAGGGTTAAGCCGTCACCGTTACAATCCTATGCAATTCTATCAATTACTTATAAATTTCAACATCCATGCTTTGAAGGTTAGGTTTTCCTAACGCATATTTTCCTTGTGATGTTCAAGCGAAAACGTATATCTAACATGCAATCCGTCTATGATGTTCAGATTAAATATAAACATGCAAGACTCATTAAACTTCGTGAAAACCCTTTGAAAAACCATGCAACCCTTAAGAGCGTGATGTTCGCCTTAAGTGAACTTACAATTACTAATCACAAGAAGCCCTCCTCAATTTCAGGGTGATGTTCCAACAGAAATTGCATCAAATAACTTGTCTAAATACCCTAATGGTGATCAATCATTAAAATATATAGATAAATTTAATCACGGTGATTAATAATTCAAAGCAAACATGCATCCATTCATAAGCAAATTAACAAAATTGCATATTCATGCTACGGTTCATGGCCTAACCCTAGCAAAAGAATTAGTTACGCATACTCATAATAAAAATCAAAGGAAATATCATTCAAAATGAGTCAAAGGAATGAAAACACCTTAAAGTAGAAAATATCCACGAACCCTAGCAATCACTCTTTGTCTCTCCCCAAATCATCAAAAATTCCCCCCTCTATTTAAGAACGGCCAAGCAATATAATTGCTGAGCCCCCCTACAAACCCTAAAATATAGTCTCTTATTCCAACTAGGGAAGTCAATAATAAAATCAAATACTTAGAAAACAAAGTCCTAATTAAACTAGGAAAAGCTGCAAGGGAACTGTCCAGCTACGTTTTAGCCTCAGAAATCCTCCAAATCCGGCCCATAATGGCTTGTTTTAAAGATCGGGACGTTCTGAACACATCTCCAGAAGGCCACAAACCCATCCGAGGTCATCTTGGACTTCAAAAATGCAATTCAAGCCCAAAACGTCACTATTCCAGCACTGCGCATTGCTCATTTATTTTATCGCCAGAAAATAACCGCTTGGTAGAAAATTCTGATATTTTGATACGATCAAGCCAAGTGACTCAGGAACATCCTCCAACTAGAATTACTCCAAAATTCGTCAATTTAATTATGTTTTTCTCCAGAGGAAGTCGAAAGTCCTAAATTAGAAAAACAATTCAAAGTATCAAAATTCTTTCAAAATATTAACCAAAATATACCAAGAATAGGGTTAAATATATACTATAAAATCTGCTCATCAAAATACCCCCAAACTTAGCTTTTTGCTTGTCCTCAAGCGAAACAAGACTCAAACAAAAATAAAAACTTAACAAACTAGACACCTAGCTAAAAATTAACCAAGACAAAACTTCCATCTTCAAATTGCAATCCATAATAAATTTTAACAACTAGAACATCTTTTCAAAAGATCCAACTAATCCCACCACAAAGTCTAAATCATTTACAACTGCTTAGAAAGGAATTCATGAACTTCCCTTGGTGTAAAGTGAACCATCATAGTTAAAGAGACTCGACTAAAACCCTTACCTCTCGTCCATTTTATTTATACTTCACACATACTAACTTCACATATACCTTTTTTTTTTCTTTTTCAAATTTCTCTTCTTTTTTTTTTTTTTTTTTTCATAATTTTTCTTTTTCAGTAACAGTAGTGGTCGTGCAATGTCAGTTCACTTAAGCTTTCGATCCAACCCATGTAGCGAGCTTTAGGTCAATGACTCCCAAACCACTAAGGCTTCAGGGCACTAGGTGTAGAACACCCCTGATAGGAGCATATTTATACGACTTAGTTAGCTTGTTTTCTTGCATTTAATTAGCTAAACTATGTTAATTATAGTGTTTAAAGTTATTTTCGTGCAATTTCAGGTTTTAGTGTCAAAGTATGCAAAAAGAAGCAATTTGGAGCATTCTAGAGCATTTTTGGGCCAAGATTGGATAGTGCAAGCATGGTGGCATGAGGATGGACGAATTTGAAAGGCTTGAATTCAGTTAGGGAGTTGCAAGGGGGCCTAAAAACCTGATTTCTAGAAGGCTACATTTCAGCCACATGCACTCCCATCCTTTAATCCATTGCAGCCACATGCACTTCCATCCTTTCATCATTGCATCACAAATCAGCCACATGCACTTTGCCTTTCGTCATTGCACCACAAATCAGCCACATGCACTTTGCCTTTCATCATTGCACCACAAATCAGCCACATGCACTCCCATGCTCTCCCATTAATTAATTCAAGTCCATATCTGATTTCCCTAGGGTTCTAAGTGCCTATATATACTCATATTAACCCCTAGATCAGATCACCACCTCTCATACACATTCATTCACGCCAGAAATTCATTCCCTCTCTCTAACACAGCCATACTTCACCATTCTTCATATTTTCTGCCCAAAAACACTCCTTGCCTTCCCCTACATCCATCCCTACCCTAAACACATCATTCTACATCATCCATAACCCCCAAAACTCACCAAAACCCCTTGTGCCGCAGCAACTAGAGGAGAAGAGGCTTAAACGTTCATACAATTCAAGATTGAGTTGTTGGAATTTTTAGGTGTACTTCGATTCTTGTTTTCAATGTTTACTTTGTTATTACTCTCTAAGTTTGTTGTAATCATGAGTGGCTAAACCCCCTTGGTTAGGGGGGAATTCGAAACCATTTACATGCTTGCAATATGATTTGATTACATTCAGTTGTTATTTCATAAGTTGTGGATTCAATTCGTTCATCTATTTGATTGATAACTTATTTGTGTATGTTGATTGAGAGTGCACGCTTAGTTTTCATGCATGAATATGATGCTAGATTATGAGGGAGTTTCACCTAATAGTTACAATCTTATAATCACAAGTAGTGAAGGTCGCTTGAAAACGATCGCGTTGAATGAATTCTTAGCATAAGTTTCATGCAATTCATAGTAACGAATGCTTCGTCAATGCTTATGTTTTTCATAGAACTTAATGATTCTTGCTTGTATCTCTATTATGCAATTCATGTAGGGAACTTGTAGGGAATGTTTTGGGTTGTCGTATGCAATCATCCAACTTAATAACTTGTGGAAAAACTGAGGTTTAATTAGTGCAATTCACGGTTAATTTGGGGCGTTGAGTATTTATAATTTATTGGAAGAACAACTGAAAATCGTTTTGTTTGCAAGTGTGACATGTGTGGAGAAGAACCTCCTAACTAGCCTTTTATCCATCCTTTTTATCCAAAAACATTCTACAATCTGTTTAGTTTAAAGTTTCTGTTTTATGTTAAATTTTCGTCCAAAACAAATCCCCCTTTAATTTGAAGTCTTAGATTAGTTAGAAAGTGTTTTGATTTGTGTTTCTAAGTATTTTGATTCAAGTTTTCATCCAATTTCGTCCAAATTAGTGTAGGTGCTCAAAACTGCCCAGAAAGTGGTTTTTAGGCAGTTTTGAGTCTTCTAGTTGCTGTTTTGGGTTTTAGGTTTGTTTAAGTGTTTTAACTTTTAGTTTTGCACTCTTTGAGTCGAGTTTAGTGTTTTAAACTTTGTTTTTGAGTTTTTAAGTCAGTTTCCAAGTGTTTAGCAATCCCTCCTAATCCCCGGTCTAGAACGATCCCTACTTACATCTTTACTACAATTTGACAAAAAGAGGGTTTAATTTGTGTGCTTATCTATTTCGCATCAAATTTTTGGCGCCGTTGCCGGGGATTAGCAATTTTGCTAATCCCTTGGATTGTTTTTGTTTCTTTTATTTCACCTTGTTTCTGACTTTGTTTAAGTTTCTGACCTAATTTTGTTTCTTGTTTCTTAGGTACTAATGTATGACTAGAAGCTCTCAACCGATTCGTGCGAACATCTTGGATTTTGACGACGATTTTGAGAGGAAGTTGAGAAGAGCTAGAAACCAGCAAGAACACCATCCACCAAATTCCGAATCTGACCTTGAAGAAAACGTACAAGAAGAGAAAGAGGAAGCCACGGCAGGGATATTTGAAGAAGCCCAAGGCATGGCGGTGGACAACCGTACACTCAAGGAGCTTTCCGCCTCAGGTTTGGATAATGCCGCACCCTTGTGCATTCAATACCCCACGGCTGCCCAAGGTAAGACGGATGAGTTTGAATTAAAGTCAAGTTTGCTTCATCATATTCCTAAATACCATGGCTTGTCCATGGAAGATCCTAACAAACATTTGAAAGAATTTGAAGTAGTTTGCTCTAGTATGACTCCCGTCACTGTTGACGGAAATATCTTGAAGATGAAGGCTTTTCCATTCTCTTTGATGGATAAAGCCAAAGATTGGTTATATGAGTTAGCTCCCGGCACTGTCACTTCTTGGGAGAGTATGAAGAGAGCGTACTTGGAGAAGTTCTTTCCAACTTCTCGCATCATCCTCCTACGCAAAAAGATAAGCGGAATCCAGCAAGAAGAAGGTGAGTCTTTTCCTACGTATTATGAACGATTTAAATCACTTGTTGCTTCTTGTCCACAGCATCAGATGAAGGAGGAGTTGCTCTTGCAATATTTCTACGAGGGTCTCCTACCTCTAGAACGTCAAATGCTTGATGCTTCGGCGAGGGGAGCATTGGTGGACAAAACACCCATGGCTGCCAAGGTCTTGATTGCTAATAGAGCGTTGAACGCTCAACAGTACGAGGGTGTAGGCCAAAGAGGACCCCCACGGCACCAAGTACATGAGGTAAGTTCAACGTCCGATCTTCATTCACAATTGGCTAATCTTACTTCTATTGTTTCACAGATGGCCGAGGGAATGAAGATGCAAGGACCTGTGGTATGTGGCGTATGTTCTATCCAAGGACATGCCTCCAAAAAGTGTCCTCAACTCATTGAGAATGGCGGATGGGAGAGTGCGAATGCCATTGGGTTTCAAAGCCAAAATCAGTCAAGACATGATCCATACTCCAACACGTATAATCCGGGGTGGCGAGACCACCCAAATTTCAAGTGGAGGGATTCCCAGCAACCTCAGAACCAAGGAGGCTTTAGGCAACAACCCCCGGGGTTCTTTCCCAAAACCTACGGCCCACCCCAAAATCAAGCCCAATCCGGCCCAAGTGCCTTAGGTACGTCTCTTGACAATGATGCACTTCTTAAGATACTAACTAAGTTGTCTAATGGGCAGGAAGATCAAGCGAAGGCTATGCAAAACCAAGATAAGAGGGTGGATCAACTTGAGAAACAAATTGGGCAGATTGCCGAGTTTGTAGGTAAGTTTCGAGATCCCGTACAACTCCCTAGTTCCACCATTCCAAATCCGAAGGGAGGTTTTGGAATCAGCCAAAGCAATCACCCTAAGAAGTGGTAAGGAAGTTGGGGCAAGTCCTACATCAAAAACAGGTCATAACGAGGATGAAATTTTGCAAATGGAAGAGGAGGAAACAAGGTTGCCCACGGCAAAGGTGATTCCACCTTTGCCGCAAGTCCCTATGGTCCCAAATCTGCCCAATTTGTCCCACAAAGGTAAGAATGTGTCAAATTCGGTTCATACTAATGTTTTCCCTTCAAATGTGCCTTTTCCTAGTAGGTTCATGCAAACGAAGAAAGAAGAGGCAGAAAAGGATATCCTTGAAACCTTTAGGAAAGTTCAAGTTAACATACCTTTGTTAGATGCAATCAAGCAAGTTCCGAGGTATGCTAAGTTCTTGAAGGAGTTGTGTACCACTAGGAAGAGGATGTCGACTAAGGAAGTGGTAAAGGTAGGTGAGAATGTGTCCGCCATCTTGCAACGCAAACTACCTCCCAAATGCAAGGATCCAGGTAGCTTTACCATTCCTTGTGTCATTGGGAATATTAGATTTGAATCTGCCATGCTTGATTTAGGTGCTTCTATAAATGTTATGCCATATTCCATTTATGCATCTATGAACTTAGGAGCATTGAAAAATGATGGGGTAATAATACAATTGGGCGATAGATCTAACGCCTATCCAAAGGGAGTTTTGGAAGATGTTCTTGTGCAGGTTAATCATTTGGTCTTCCCGGCGGATTTCTATGTCCTCGAAATGGATGAATCGGACCATGCTCCTTCGCTGCCCATTCTACTTGGAAGGCCATTCATGAAGACGGCCCGGACGAAGATTGACGTGTATAGTGGAACTTTGTCCATGGAATTCGATGGGGAAGTTGTTAATTTTAATCTTTCTGATTCCATTAAATACCCTAGTGAGGACCATTCATGCTTTTCTATTGATATAATTGACTCTTTGGCGCAGGGATATCTCGACGATTTGAATGACGATGCGCTTGAAAAAGTCATTACATGAGGCATGGAACTCAAAACAAAGGGGGCAGATTGCATGCATGCCCACGGCATACAAGAGTCATCGCATGCCGTGCCCCCTAGTGAGGAATTACTTGAAGTTGTGGCTGCCCTTGAGTCCTCACCTAAGCTTGATGGTAAGTATACTAACCGTGAGTCCATTCCCATTTCGACTAACAAATTGCTTCCATCTATAATTCAGGCACCTATCCTTGAACTCAAGCCTTTGCCAAGCCATTTGAAGTACATTTTCTTGGGGGAAAATGAAACACTACCTGCCATTATTTCCTCCTCCTTCACGGCACAAGAGGAGGAGAAGTTGCTTCGAGTTTTGAAGGAATTCAAATCTGCCCTAGGTTGGACATTGGACGATATCAAAGGTATAAGCCCTACAACTTGTATGCATCACATATTTCTTGAGGAGGGGGCTAAACCAACTAGAGAGGCTCAACGCCGTCTTAACCCTCCGATGATGGAAGTAGTGAAAAAGGAGATAATCAAACTTCTAGATTGTGGGGTGATTTATCCCATCTCCGATAGTCGTTGGGTTTCACCTATCCAATGTGTGCCTAAGAAATCCGGAGTGACAGTTGTGGAAAATGCCGAGAATGAGCTTGTACCCATAAGGATTCAAACCGGTTGGCGTGTGTGCATTGATTATAGGAAGATAAACGCCACCACAAGGAAGGATCACTTCCCTTTGCCGTTCCTAGACCAAATGTTGGAAAGGTTAGCCGGTCATTCCTTTTATTGTTTTCTTGATGGATATTCAGGTTATAACCAAATTGTCATTGCCCCGGATGATCAAGAAAAGACCACTTTTACTTGTCCCTTTGGAACGTTTGCATACCGACGCATGCCATTTGGCTTGTGCAATGCTCCTGCCACGTTTCAAAGGTGTATGGTAAGCATATTTTCGGATTATGTTGAAAAGATTATTGAGATATTCATGGATGATTTTAGTGTGTTTGGTGATTCATTTGACAAATGCTTGGATAATCTCACTTTAATCTTGAAAGGTAATGTTGAAACAAACCTTGTGTTGAATTGGGAAAAATGTCACTTTATGGTTAAACAAGGTATTGTTTTGGGTCATATAATCTCTGAAAAAGGAATTGAAGTTGATAAGTCTAAAATAGATCTTGTACGTTACTTACCCTCTCCGACTTCGGTTAGAGAGGTTCGTTCGTTTCTTGGCCATGCAGGATTTTATCGTAGGTTTATCAAAGATTTCTCGAAGATAGCACAACCTCTTTGCCGACTCCTACAGAAAGAAGTGGCGTTTGAATTCACCAAGGAGTGCACGGAATCATTCAAACAACTCAAGGAATTGTTGACCACGGCACCCATCATCGTTCCACCGGATTGGAGTCTACCTTTCGAGCTCATGTGTGATGCGTCCGACTATGCTTTAAGAGCTGTTTTAGGACAAAGAAAGGACAAGAGGCCGCATGTCATTTACTACGCCTCCCGGACGTTGAACGATGCACAATTGAACTACTCCACTACGGAAAAAGAACTCCTTGCCATTGTCTTTGCTTTAGATAAATTTCGATCATATCTAATTGGAACTAAAGTAATTGTTTTCACTGATCATGCAGCTCTGAAGTACTTGCTCACCAAAAAGGAGGCCAAGCCACGGCTAATTCGATGGATATTGCTACTTCAAGAGTTTGACATAGAAATTCGGGACAAGAAGGGAAGTGAAAACGTGGTGGCTGACCACCTAAGCCGAATGGTGCATAATGAGGAGTCTTTGCCGATTTTGGAGACATTCCCCGATGAACAATTGCTGTCCATTAAGGTTAGTGCACCTTGGTATGCCGATATTGTTAATTTTTTGGTGTCAAAACGTATTCCAAGTGAGTTCACTAGGCACCAACGTGATAAACTTAGGCATGATGCACGGTTTTATGTGTGGGATGATCCGTACTTATGGAAATTTTGCCCTGATCAGATTATACGTCGTTGTGTGCACGATTCTGAAGTCATTCAATTTTGAGTTTTTGTCACACATATGCATGTGGAGGGCATTTTGGCACACAACGCACAGCCCTTAAGGTGTTACAATGTGGATTTTATTGGCCTAGTATTTTTAAAGATGCTAAAACTTTTTGCTTAACATGTGATAAATGCCAAAGAATGGGTGGTATTAGTGCAAAGGACCAAATGCCGCAGGTTTCTATCCTAAATGTTAAAATTTTTGATGTTTGGGGTATTGATTTTATGGGTCATTTTCCTTCTTCGTATGGTTTTACATATATTTTGCTTGCGGTTGATTATGTGTCGAAGTGGGTGGAAGCAAAGGCCACCCGGATTAATGATTCTAAAGTGGTTGCAGATTTTATTAGAACTAACATTTTTGCAAGATTCGGAATGCCACGAGTGATCATTAGTGACGGAGGGTCACACTTTTGCAATCGGACCATTGAGGCGTTATTGAGGAAATACAGTGTCACCCATAAGGTTTCTACACCTTACCATCCTCAAACGAATGGCCAAGCTGAGGTTTCCAACCGAGAGATCAAGCAAATCCTAGAGAAGACCGTTGGGCCAACAAGGAAGGATTGGAGCTTACGGTTAGATGAGGCACTTTGGGCGTATCGTACGGCGTACAAAACCCCCATTGGGATGTCCCCCTTCCGACTTGTCTATGGCAAGGCGTGCCATCTTCCTGTTGAATTGGAGCACAAAGCACTTTGGGCCATCAAGAAGTTTAACATGAACCTCGAGGAAGCAGGAAGTCAAAGGAGATTGCAATTGAATGAGCTTGATGAGATACGGCATGAGGCGTACGATAATGCAAGCATTTACAAGCAAAAGACCAAAGCTTTCCATGACAACATGATTGATGCGAGAATTATGCGCACACAAATTAAACCCTCTTTTTGTCAATTGTAGTGAAGTGTATAAGTAGGGATCGTTCTGGACCGGGGATTAGGAGGGATTGTTAATCACTTGGATTTGACTTAAAAACGTAAAAACACAATATAAAACACTATTTAATGCTCGGAGAAAGCAAAACTAAAAATAAGAAAGATTAAGACTAAGACTTCAACGAAATAGGGGGGAAATTGGATTTGGACGAATTTAAACTAAAATGGATACTTGGAAACAAAACAAATTGTAAATATTGATTTGACGGAAATGAATGGATGGGAAGATAGCTAAGGGGTTCATCTCTGTACATGTTATACTTGCATACAAAACGATTTCTAATTGCTTTTCAATAAACCATGAATTCTCAACGCCCCGGGTTAATTAGGTCCGCTTAAATTAACCGTCAAGTTTTCCTTAAGTTAATGAATTGGATGATTGCATACGACAACCCAAAGCATTCCTCACAAGTTCCCTACATGAATTGGATAATAGAGATACAAGCAAGAATCATTAAGTTCTTTGAAAACTATAAGTGTTGACGAGGCATTCGTTACTATGATTGCATGAAACTTATGCCAAGAATTTGTTTAACGCGATTGTTTATAAGCAACCTCCACTACTTGTGAATATAAGTTCATAACTATTACGTGAAACTCACTTATATTCTAGCGTCAAATTCATGCATGAAAATTAAGCGTCGACTCTCAATAAACATACATAAATAGGTTATCAATCAAATAGTTAAACAAATTGAATTCACAACTTATGAAACGTAATTAAAAGTAATCAAATCATATTGCAAGCATAAACATATATTTCGAATCACCCCCTAGCTAAGGAGGGTTTAGTTCCTCATACTTACAAAACAAAGAGAATTGAAATTAAACATTGAAATCAAAGAAACGCCTAAACATTCCAACAACTCAAACTTGAATTGTATGAACGTTTAGGCACTCTTCTCTTCCTCGTTGTTGTAGCACAAGGTCTAAGGATAGGTTGTGTGATGGTGTGAAGTGTTTTGGAGGGATGGGAAGTGGTTGGATAGTGGCTGCAATGGAGGAGAAAAACTGCACAGAAATAGAAGGATATGCACGGCAAAGGTTTGGGAAATGGTGTGTTTGTGTATGAAATGAGGAATTCCTTGAATGATGAGAATGCAAGGGCTTTTATAGGAGAATGAAGGTGTAAATGGCTGTTTGTTTAAGCATGCAAGTGGCTAATTAATGATGAACAAACAGCTAAGAAAGCATATGCAAGCTGGAATTGCATGTGAAGGTGTTGGAATGTCAATGTGTGTATGCATGTGTTTGGGAAGCTTTCTTGCTCATTTTCTGGATGCAATGATGAAGAATTTAATAATTAATGCATGTAGGTGGCTGAAATGATGAAGTATGAGTGGTGGAAATGAAAGGGAAAGCTAGAAAGACATGTGAAGATGATGGAATTTCAAAGGGAACCCACGGCATTGAAGGTTTTGGTGCATGTGTTGGCTGTTTTGTGTTGTGAATTATGATGAATGCATGTGAGTTAAAGAGGGAGAATGTGGTGAAATGATGAAGTAGGAAGGTGGAATAAATGGTGATGCATGAGATGGAATGATGAAAAGCTTGGAAAAGGAAGGGTAGGCCACGGCAACAAGGGAGTGTTTGGAGAATGAATGCAATGATGAAGAGTGAATAAAGAATGCATGTAGGGTTAGCTAGGTTGTGTGATGATGAGTGTATGTGGATGATTTGTGGTGAAATGATGAAAGAATAAGTGCATGTGTGTGTGAGTGGTGGTAGTGGGGTGAATTATAATGAATGCATGTGGAATAAAGATGGAGAAGGTGGTGTAATGATGCATGGTTGTAGTTTAGGGTGTTGAATATGGATTTGCATGGCTTTTGAAGTGATTGTGGGCTTTGGAATTGGAAGGAAATGCATGGCCTTGGGGTTGGTTTAAGAGAGAATGGGCTAGGCCCTTTGTTTTATGTCCAAAGTGAATACAAGGCCTTCAAATTCGTCCAACATTTTGGCTCCAATCATATGCTATCCATTCCAAGCCCAATTTTGCTCCAAAATG